CAGCAGCGGGGGCTTCGACCGTCTCGTCGATGCGACAGGCTTGTCAACAGCGTCTCCGGTCGCGGGGACCACAGTGGTGGCAGCCTCCTCCTTCTTCTCGACCTGCTCGGGAGCAGTCGTGGGCGCGCCGGCGGCGTCGTCAGACATGGTGATGATGCGCGTGTATATATGGGTGGGTGAGGAGAGAGAAAGAAGAAGAAGAAGAAGAAGAAGCGTGGAGTGGTGTGCGCGTTACGAAAGGCGTGACAGGATTGGTGATGACAGGTGTTGAGGCGCGACTTGGAGAGCGAAAAAAGGGTTTTGGAAAGTGGACAAAGAAATTGGGACGCGTTATGGGACGCGAGGTACGTGTTGAGTAGAGTCGAGATGATGCGCCTGATGAAAAGAAGGCGCAAATCTGATGGTTGTTGGCAATGGATGGGGCAGTCACCTCGTGTGTTGCGACGTCAAAGATGTGGTGCGTGGAGTGGCAGACGAGAAAAAGGCAACCCGGGGGGGGGGAGAGAGGTGGGCTGGGTTGGTTTGGTTTGGATTGGATTGGAGTTGGGGGGGCCGATTGGATGGGCATGGATTATTACATTGAACCTGGATCGGGCTAGGAAACTCAGGTCTTGGAGACAAGAGACACGAGCGAGAGGGAAAGCAGCCGGGCCAGCCAGCGAGTAAGCCAGACGGAGCTAGGTGAGCTACCCTTTGCCATAGGTAGCACCACGAGCATGAGCACGGGCTGCTGAGTGCCTTCCTCTCCTCCTTCTCTCACCTCGCCCTCGTCGCTTTGCTCTGCCTCTTACCTGACCTGACGCGAACGTGGTGGAGGCATGACGGCAACAAGGCAACGACACGTGACCAATTGGATCGCACAACACTGACTTGCGCGGATCCACTTGAAAAGGTTTCGTACCTTAGGTAGCTAAGGTAGCAAGAGACAAGGAGCCAGCAAGCGAACCTCTCTCTCTCTCTCTCTCTCTGCCCTTCCTTGCCTTGGGGCATCTTGCCCAGCCTTGCCAGCCTGTCCACTTACCTATGCCCTGTTCACCCTGTCGGCCTATCGGTCATGTTGGCCCTGATGCCTGGGTGGCTGGTGGTCGAAGAATAATTATGCTGCCATGTCGTCACCCACCCCTCACCCTTTATGGCGTGGTCGTCGTCGTCGTGGATGGATCCCCGAAACTCGCCCTTGAGCAATCCTCCCGTCAGCCATCCCTCCCAGCCCACCAGTACACAACCCAGGACCTGCACAACTGGCCTTTAGACGCCGCAACCCCTCTCGCGCATCAGAAGATGCCCGTGTGCTCTTGAATATAGAAACGCAGAATTGAAATTTGACCAAACTTGCCAGTGCTGAAATTACCCTGCCGTCCTCCGTCCTCTCTACTGTACACCGGCCAAACCAAGGCGCCGAGTCGTGACATTTTTCTTTCCTTGTCGTCTTCTGCCTCTTCCTCTCCTCCTCCCCACCCTTCCCCTTCGCTGCTTCGTCTATTCGTCATCCTCCTCCTCCTCCTCGTCGTCGCTGTCGTCCACGTCCATGCTCTCGGCGGCAACGACGGAGAACTCGCGCTCCTGGTCCACACCCGCGTAGCTGTCGCTCATGAGGAAGAGCTTGAGATCGTGCTTGCCCGCCGTCGGCACGATGAACTCGAGCTTGCCGGTGAACGACCGCCCGACTGTCACGCGCTTGATGCCGAGCACGCTCTTGGTGCTGTCTTCGCCGACGACGAGCCACCAGCTCTCGAGCTTCTTCGACGGGTAGAATGGCGCGTGGACCGTCGGATCGAACTCGTCGTCCTCTTCCAGTTGACGCTGGATCGTCACGTTGATCTGCGAGGGCTCGCCTGCTTGAATCTCGTCGCCGTCCACAATCTCGTGCTCCATCTCAATATCGGGGTACTTGTCGTTGGTAAAGTTCGCCGCCTGTGCCAGCTGCGCCTGCGAAAGACCGAGCCGCTTGACGAGCGCCGCGTAGTCGGCGTTCTCGTCTGGGTTCATGGCCTCCATAAAGTCGAAGATGTCCTTGATTCTGCCAAAACGACGGTGGTTAGCTACTTTTCCATGGCCAGACGCAGGCGCCGGTACGTACCCAAACTCATTCGCCGCCTTGACAACCTCGGGCGAAAAGTGAGGAATCTGCTTCAGAGGGCTGTCTCGGTCCCACATGCCTTGGACAACCATCTGAGACATCTCCATTGCGCTCATGGCGTTGAGGTGACCGTCCGACGATAACACGTCGACCGTGGCACTGAGCAGGCTGAGGACCTTGGAAACAATGATTTCCTGGTCCTTGGACAAGTCAATAGGCAGCTGCATCCTCGAGAAGTGCGCCTGGAGCAGCACGAATGCCTTGAAATGGGGCGAGTCATAAGCCGGCTGCGACATCTTAACCGGCACTCGGTCGTAGATACGGCGCAGGATGCCATCTTCGTGCCGCCTGATTTGAATCGTTTCGAACTCTGTGGCCGACGTGATAATCTCGAGGATGCCCTTGAGCTTTGTCCTCGCACTGAGTGACAGCAAAAATGTTTGCATCGTAATGTACGAGATGTTGTAGTATGCCGCGATCATGGCAGCGTTCTGCGGCAGGACCGAACCATCGTCGTCGTCCAACTCGATGATCTTGGAATCCTGAAGTTCCGTGAGCGTCGTCTGGATCAGGTCAGACATGTAATCGTTGAGACCGTCTTGCGTAGTGTCTGTAAGGTTGTAGAAGCTGGGATTGGCTAAAAGCCTACGGTAGAAATAGGTGAAGGTCGTCCAGTTGATCGCATCCTCGCCGTTCGTAATCAGCCTGGTGCTAATCTCTGTAACAAAGGCGTCGTGAAGGTAGTTGTGGAGATGAGACTCGACCGGCAGAGCCTCGTTGAGGAACTTCTTATAGAACTCACGCTTCACACCCGGTACCATGAGTACGCCACGACCTCTGCCATCCTTGGAAGGCTGAAGCGCCTTGCCGAACATGTGCAAAACTTCGCTTAGAGAGTAGTCGACATATCGATGTTCGCGGCCTTCGAAGTACTGAGTACCCATGACAATGACCAGGTGGGCGGTGCAGTTGAGCTCCCAGCAGACATCCCTTGACGCTACCAACACTTGAATGGCACCGTGGTTGTAGAGATGCTTCACAATACGCTTGTCGCTGAGGCTGAGAGCCTCATGATAGTAGCCGATGCCATGAGAAAGGGTTTCGGCAAGGGCCTCTTCATCAATCTTGTCAAGGAGGGGCTTCATCTGTTCAGCATCGGCGTGCAGGAAATCGATCTTCGTCATCATCTGCGAAAGCAAGCGGCAAGCAGATCGCGCGTCGTGGCTCTCGTTTGCTTGCGGCTCGGAACAAAGACGATCGCAGGCTTGTCGGCAGACATCTGATTAATGGCCAGGTAGGTGGGCTTGGCCATAGCCAGCATCAGCGACGGGAAATGAGGTGTGTTGAAGGACTGTATGTGAAGTTCGAGGGGGACCGGGCGGACATGCGGGCTAAAGTTGTAAATGTCGTGCTTCTTTGCATCAATCCATTCGCCCAAGTCCCTCGCATTGGCGAGGGAGACACTGAGTGCGACGATTCGCATGGGAAGCTCGGTCTGCATCCTGATGTAGTGCATCCTCGAAACGATAACTTCGTAGATGTAGCCCATGGAGCCGCCGAGAAGGTGAATCTCGTCGGCAATGAACAGCGCAACCTTTTGAACCTCGGCGCGACCCTTCCACTGGCGAGAGAGAACATCCCATTGAATGGGGGTGGCGAGGATCAGGTCGCTAGTCTTAAGGATCTTAAGGTCAGTCGCCGTCTCACCCGTCAATTTTTCGATAGTCTTGCCGCCGCGCAGGGAGCCAAGCTTCTTGCGCCAGTCCTCGAGGCGAACATCGACGAGCTCTTGATATGGGGCAATGTACACAGCAGCGCCGCCTTGCTCCTCAGAGTCTACCTTTTTCGACCAGTGGCGCAACAACGCGAACTCTGCGCAGACAGTCTTGCCACTGCCTGTAGGGGCACCAACAAAGACGTTTTGGTCGCTGTCGTAAAGGGATTTGAACGACTGCGTTTGGATGCGGTTGAAGTGGCTCCAGTCAGGATACAAGTTTGCGTACTCCTTGACCTTCAAAGCAGACACTGGCAGTGGCTGAAGGTCTAGCAGTTCTGTGTGAGGCGGGAACCTCTCAGGAAGAATAAGCTTGTGGAACGAAACGGGAAGCCTCGTCTCCGAGTGCATCCAGCGATCAGAAATGACGGAGATGAAGTAGTTTGGCGGCATCGGGTCCGTGATAGGCACAGTAAAGTCGACGATGTGCTCATTGGATTCCGACTCGGCGTACTCCTTACGCAAAAGAAACTGATCATGGAACAGAATATCTTCGCCATCGCAGTCTTCCACAACAATCCAGAAGCCCTCAGCTGGTCCGTGAACATCATCGTCCCACTCGAAGTTGGGCGTGATGCTCAGCTCGACGCGCAGCATTGATCGTGTCAAAGGCTGTACTTGAGCCTGAAGTTCGAGTCTTGGGAACTTTGCCACGAGAGAGCAAACAGTCCTTCCGGCCTTGGGCATGCCCAAGAGCTCGCCCATGCGCGGAGGGTCAAGGTCAAAATAATTGCTCCACGAGACCTCGATCCTCTCGGCCTTCTGCACAATCTCTCGTGGGCACGAGGGAAACTGGCGAAGCGGAGACATCGTCGGCCACATGCGCTTCTCAGCCATTTTGCAGAGATCCAGAGCAGTCTTCGAGACCGAAGCCCATCCCTTCTTCAGCGTAATCTCAAAGATAGCGCGGAGGATACGACCAGCTGATTGAGTCACGTATACCATGTCTGCCATGAGTGCAAGACCATCCAGCTTAAGTCGAGAGATATACGCCTGCAGTAGAACGTTGATCTTTGCGTGCGGCTCCTCAATACTCTCTTTGACAGGGATGGGAACGCGGCCCAACAGTTTCGCGAGTTCAAGCTTCTCATCTTGACGCACCGGGATGTACTTGAATTCCGCACTCAAGGAGAAAACGCGGAACAGCTCGATAGTCGTGATGGATGGCTGGATGAGGTTGTTGTAGGTCTCCATGGAGCCGTGGGTGATGTAGTAGTGAGACGCAATGCGACCAAGTTCAGTAGCTTGAAGTTTGCCTGTCTTCTCGTCATACTTGACGAGATTGGACTTACGGAGGACAGACGCTGCAGAGTGGATAAGATCGACTCTCTTTTGCTCAAGGGCCTCATCGTCTTCATATTCGGCACCAACTTGGTAAAGACCGGGTGAGCGGAGCATGCGTACAAACAAATAGCTGTAGCCGAGCCACTCAACACCTTCGTCTCGTGAGCGCACATTGCCTAGAACAATCTCGGCGTTGAGATTGTCCACCAATTTGCTGACCATTTGACTTTCGATCGGTAGTTGTTGGTTGAGGAGCGAGAGGTAGTACTGGATTTCGTTCTGTGTTGTGATAATGATACCCTCGCCATATGTGTCGAACTGTGGTCGGCCTGCACGGCCGAGCATCTGCAAGACATCCTGGGGGCTCAACTCTACCCAGCTACCCTTCTCAGGTGAGTAGATCTGAGTGCCTTTGATGATAACGGAATGTGCGGGAAGGTTGACACCCCACGCAAGGGTGGCTGTGCAAACCAGGACTTGAATGGCACCTCGGGCGAAAAGATCCTCGACATCAGTGCGGTCGATTCGGCTCATACCAGCGTGATGGATGCCGAATCCGTAAGGAAGCAAGTCCTTGAGCTCCTTATCAGTCGCCTGGCTCGAAGCTTCGTTCAAAACCTCACGGCTGCCAGCATCGTGACGAAGAATATTGTTGATAGTGTCCATTTCCAGAGCCTTGTCGCGAATATATCTCGCCGTCTTGGCAGTCTCCTTTCGCGAGTGGACGAAAATGAGCATCTGGTTTCGGTTGGTACCTACGTGCTCCATAACTTTGTTGTACGTGACGTCGTTCATCGTCTTGAGTTGCTTGATTGCCTTGCGATCGGTCACGCCAATGAACTCTTGCCGGAGAGGACAGGGTCGGTAAGAGCCGTCGAAGTGGAACAGGCCCTTCGTGGGGTCCACGCGGAGGAAGCTGGCGACATCTCGGTAGTTGGGCAGCGTTGCGGACAAGCCGATCAAACGGACAGGCTCTCCGGTTTGCTCGGTTTTCCTGATGGTTCTGCTTATGATGCTCTCGAGAACAGGGCCACGGTCATCGTGAAGCAAATGGATCTCATCAATGATGATAAGTCGGACCAGATTGGTGTAGCTTATGTCCGTAGCTTTTCTTGTGATGACGTCCCACTTTTCAGGTGTCGTAACGATGATCTGCGTCTCAGCAATCTGTGCCTTTGTGAGTTGACGGTCACCTGTCAACTCAGAAACTTTGACACCGTATGGTTCGAGTCGCTTTCCAAAGTTTCCAACCTGTTCCTGAACCAGGGCCTTCAACGGCGCGATATACACAATTTTGAAGGAGTCCAAGTCGATATCGCCGGATTGGGCATTGCGGTGTTTGCCTAGCTCGCGCAATATCGTCAACATGGCCACGTTGGTTTTGCCACTACCAGTGGGCGCACAGATTAGCATGTTTCCATCGTCTCCAAAAGCCGTTGGGAAGCATTTCGTCTGGATACGGTTCAGTGACTTTGTCGTGCCAAAAGGGCCCCTTGACCATTCCGGCATGTCGGTGATGGGCACAAGCACTTCGTTGCGATCGGTATGCTTTTTGGGTGCTGGGACATGAATTTCCTCGTATCCCTTGAAGGTCCTCTTGGTTGACCCTTCAGGTAGCCTGACCTTGGGGTTTGTCATGAGATGGTTGCCCTGGTCGAACACCAGATTCTCCAAGTTGATGAGTTTGCGCGGCTGCAGTCCCCCGCGGAGCTGACCTTCGGCACGTTCGGGCTCGGCAGGCTTGCCAGAAGCAACACCGGCAGGAACATCAATATCCATCTTGATCTCCATCTTTCGAGACTTGTCCTCCGTTTTGCGGCCGTACTTCTCATTGAGAATCCACTGTAGACCTTCTGATGCCATCTCGCGCTCCAGAGCTGCTCGCTGTTCGTCTGTATCAGCCTTGGCGTGTCGTGTCAGCCAGACGACCTTTTCCCGATTCTTGATGAGGAGTTGGACAAGGTTGTGGTGTTCATAGTCGAAAAGTTCCATCAAGTCGTTCTCAATCTCTCGAAGTGACTTCTCCTCGCCTCCCGCCTCGTCTGGCTCACCAGACAGGATTCGCAGCGATTCCGCAGCCTTGTCGACCTGCTCGTGATGATCGTCGTAGAGCTTGCCGATCTGACGCTGGAGCCAAAAGGCGTCGATGTCCCGTGCCGGTACAGTCGCTTCCTTCTCATCTTGCGCACCCTTGGTTCCTGCGGAATCGATCACCATCTCGTCATCATCGTCACCAAGATTGGTTTTCTTGTCTTCGCCAAGGATATCCTGGTCCTCCGCATCCTCTTCATCTGCTTCCTCGTCTTCTGATGACTCTTCCCTGACCTCGTTCGCGATGCCAGCATGTTCGTCATCATCCTCGTCCTCGAAGACAACAGCCACGCCCTGGCGGTCGTCCATCTCAGCATCATCTGCGCCGTCGGCTGCACCACCGTCCATGTCCTCATCTTCGTCCTGCGCGTCGTAATCGGTGATCTTCTTGCCAAGGTTGACCATCTCGTTGAACTCCTTTGGGCCCAACGCGACACCCAACATGTCGTCGATCTCCTTCTTGCGTTCGTTGTCTTTCAAGTCATCGTCTTTCAGAAACTCGAGGATAACGTCCGCTGCGCTCAGAACTGCCGATTGGGGTACATCGCCGAGGTTGTCGGCAACAATTTTGAGAATGAGTTCGTATGTTGCACGGGTTGCTGGCGTGCGCGGTCTGTATGTGATTCCCTCGATGGCGAAGTCGGCGGTCCCCAGAACGCCGGTCCCGCGCATCTGTCCTGCACCACCCTTCTTCTTCTGTTGTTCGCGTAGCAGCACGTCCTGTCCATCCTGCACCCTGCCCCGCTCGATATCAGGGACACCAGGTGCCTTCTTTTGTTTCGGCGCGCTGTCGCGCGCGACGCGATTGCCCATATCCCGGATGCTTAGCCTCCCAGCCAGCGACTCGGGGTCGCCGGTAGACTCGTCATTTCGTCTTGAAACGAAACGCTTGTCCGCCTGGAGAACCAGGTTGGACATGGCCGAGTATTTATACTGGGAGACATCGCGCTGTTGGTCCGACATCTTGGCTAGATTCGTGGGATGTCGTCTGCCATGGACCGATGTCGAAAGCGCCCTTGTCGTCTTACGCCGGAGTGTGTTGTGCTTGGGGCAAAAGCAGATGGCGCGTTGTAGTACGTCTTGTTGAATGCAGGTAACGAGTCGAGAAGCCTGAAAAGATGGATGATGGGTCCACAGTGGATGGTTGTGGCTAGTGGTCTATGCAGCGCGTGAAGTCACGTGCTCTGGCAACAAGTCAAGCCACAAGCGCTCACTGAGGGTCGAAAAGGGTGAATGTGATGGCACGTTCTTGACAATTTGGCAGCCAATCTGCTGGATACATAAGTGCTGGGAATCTATTGACATATTCTGTACGGTATCACTTGAGTTCCCAGCTTTTTCTCTGTAGCGTCGTCATTTGTTTCATCACGTCGACGATTGGATGAATGCTCGGACCTTGTTTACCGCATTACCGTCGTCTGAATCTGGCAGCGATACCATCAATTAGAATGGTACAGAATACCGAGCCGGAGGCTATTCAGCAAATAAAGTCGACCCTCGAGCCTTACATCAAGCCAAGGGAGCAAGTCTCTTACATCAGGCGCGTTCTGGCTCTCCATCTACAACGGCAACGCCAGGCCAACACACTACAGCGCCCGCTGTCACTGGTTCAAGCCAGCGACCAGGTTCAGCATCATCGAGAGACTCATGGACTGCAGCGGGATTATCTAAGAGCAGTTCGAGCCAATATCAAAGCACGCCAGGAACATGCGCAGTTGAGTGAAATCTCGCTGTCCGACACGGCTCCAGCCAGACACGAGCAGAGCTCGGCGGACCACTTGCGGGAACACCTCGCGCTCATCAAGCTACAACAGAAACATGAAAGGCTCGCAGCGATACAGAAGCATCTAGACACACTCACACAGCAGCCAGTAGCATCACCCAATTTCCTGAACCTCGAAGAGATTTACAATGACTCGATCGAACTGCCACAAGTGCCCCGCGAAGTGGTTGACAGTTTTGGTACAGACTCCACAGCCGCCAAAGCTGACCTCACCGCTGTCGTCAACGAGATGGAAAAAGTGGTTTTGCGCACTAAGATTCTCCTGCGACAAGAAGAAATGCTCCTCAACACAGTGCGGGACCGCGTCGAACCCAGTAAAGACACTATCAGTGAGATGGCGAGGCTGCACGCTCTGAACGTCACACGGAATGAGCTCATCAACTGGATCGAGACCGAGCTAAGCAAGGCAACTGGTGACGATGCAGACCAAGACATCTCAGGAGAGCCTCCCAATAATGGGGTCGAAGCTGGTTCTGCATACGTCGACTTGTCGCAGCAACTCGCTCAGGTGAAGGAGAAATATGCAAGCTACGTTGCGACGCGCAAGTCCCTCCTGACACTCGCCTCTCAACGCACACGCCCAACCATCAAGATCGCCCAAACATCGGAGACACCGAGGGTGGAAGAGATGGAGGATTTACCTTCATTTGCTGGACACATTGTGCTTCCCTACCTTGAGGATCTTCTCGATCTGTCACGGCAGCAAAAGTGTACAATCCAACAAAAGTCTCATATTAACACCATCCTGGCCCAGCAAGTCAAAGATACGAGACAAATTATGGTTCACCTGGCTGAGGAAAGCCAACTTCTTCCAAGTCACTCCATGCCAGCCGCCAAGAGAGGTAAATCGGGTTTTGATGAGCACATGTCAGCAGCTGCGTCAGACACACCAGACACAGTCAGTCAAGTCAGGCCGTGGGTGTATGCCGCGGACTCGGCAAAGATCTCCACGATGGAGACTGTAGCTGAGAAGGTCGAAGAAGGGCACCTGGCACTCGAGGGGTCTATGAAGGCTCTTCACAACGTTGAACAGCTCTTTGGGCGGAAACGTCATGAGCATGAAAATCTGACTACAGGCGACACCACAGAAGACGACATTTGGTTGACAGAAGAATCATCACGCAAGGCTGGAGCAAGGCAACACCCGGATGTTGCCGCATTTAAACGGGGTGATCATGCTGACCCTTGGGCTGTCTTGGATGGTAAGCTGGGCCTTATGGGTTGACACGACTGATATAGAGCGAGGAAAGCACAGAATCGCCATGATGATAATTGAGCGCTTTCAAATCAACCTTCGTAATTGTGAACTACCCCTAAGTTGCCCCAACGCCTTCCAGTTTTGTCCTCGCATGACCATGCGACACCATCTCGATCAACTCCGGCCGGCCATGATTCCCGATATCCTGAGCGAAAGGTCAAGGATTGAAAGATGCTCGTCCGCACCGTCAACAAGCCGTTTGTCTACCTCGGAGAAGATGAGAACTATCTTGTTTTTCTGAACGTCAGGAATGGCCTCGTCGTAAACGATATGCTGGTAGAGCTATTGAGAGTCAGTTTTGCAGGTCTAGCAGTGGAGATGTGAAGGCCTACTTGAGAAACAACCTGGCCTGCACTCCAGCCATCGGCCACCATCTCCTCCACTACTCCGGCGACATTCTGGTACGTGTCTCCGGACTTTTGAGGACGGATTGCGGTTGTCAATTTGTTGATCGTTGACTCGGGGATGACACCTGCAATATCTTCAATGATCTTGACTGTAATCGGCTTCTTGTCGACGTCCATAGACTGGTCCCTATCGGCAATCTCCGTCGCCCCGACAAGTCGTGCGGCACTTTGCAGAAACGTGATAGCCTTTCGCAGGTCACCCTCGCAGCATTTGATCAGGGCATCAACAGCACCTTCTTCGAGCTCAACACCCTCATTCTTCGCTCATCTCTTCCAGCCTTCGCTTAGCGTTCCCCTGGTCCAGGGTGGG